GGGGCATGAACAATATGCTAGTTTGACGGAGGAAGAAGCGTGAAACATTCAAAGACAGAGTGGCTAGGACCAGTCAGAGTTGGTGAATACCATTAGCCAATAATAACACAATGGAGTGTGGTGACTTAAAGCTTCATGCTCTGAGTCTGTCTGCAAATCCAAAAAACTATAATTAGGTCATATTCCCAAACATTTGGGAAACTAACGAGTGAATCAGTCATGAACCAAGTCCAAATTCCTTGCAGTATTTTGGACTCCATTTGGATTCCAGGTCACATCAAAAATTAGACGGAATGAATGGTGAGGAAGTGAGATGAAAATTTACAAGAAATTAGAATATTTTTCCTTGAGAAGAGAGACAAAACAAACTTATGTTGGTCTTCTCTAGTGGAAATATTTTTACCTATTAAAAGGTATGTGTTCCTTCTTCTCTGCTTAACAGTAGTATTAAAAATAAAGGCTTGATATAAAACAATTTATTAACAATAAAGTGAATAAGGTTTTTGGAATGTTCAAAAGAGACACTTACGTCCTTTCCACGAAGGCATGTCTAAATAAGCGGGATTTTTCTATATCGGAGATATTTTACCAGGAAGCAGAAGGATTGGCTACATAATTTTTCTTCAAGAACCAGGAGTCCAATGAAATCCATAACAGAGATTAATGCAAATAAATTGAAGCAATAGCGTCATCTAGTGGAAATCTTAGTAATAACACTCAATATACAGATCTGTGATAAGACTAAATCCTTCTATTCCTTAAATAATTAAAGTCAATTAAATTTTTTAAACCTAGATGCAACCCTTTTTCAAGATTATATTTTCCCATTTATGCCTCAGCCACATATACATAAGGGAAAAACAAGTCCAAAATCATCAAACCAACTGATGACTAAACCCTCCAGAGAAACTGGCAGATTTTAAGTACTTTGATAGTCACAGTTTAAAGGCAAAACCCAACAGAATTGGAATATTTTAATTAAACTCTTAACAGTCACACTACTAATGCATGTCTTGGATTTTCCAGTATAAATTTCTGTTGCTGAGATAAGGGTGAATGCTTGGACTAGGCATCGAAGATGAAATCACTGACAGACTCTCTTAGCTGCCTTGCTAGTCTTTCCTAAGTGACCTTTCTCTCACAAGGTCTGTTGGAAAACAACTCATTATTTGAGTTTGTCTTCAAAAAAAACTTAGGCTCACAAGATGCTATAGGCTGACTATTTGTATCTGCTCCAAAATCACATGCAAAAACATGATCTCCAATGTTATGTATTTGGAGATGAGGGCTTTAGACGGTGATTTTGTTAGAAGGACAGAGTCCTCGTGGATAGGATTAGTACCTTTTAAAATAGACCTCAGAGTGGAGCTGCCTTGTTCTTTCTGTCACGTGCGGTCACAGCACAACTGTCTGTGAACCAGGAGTGAGATCTCACCAGACACTGACTACAGATATCCCAACCTCCAGAATGAGAGTATTCCTGTGAAATATCTCAACTCCAAAACAGCATGAAGAACCAATCACCACACATTCATACAGAAATGTTTTTAGTGTTCCCAGAACCAAGAAAAAAAATTACCCAATCATGCATAAAACCTAAAATAGCACTCACATGTAGTAAAAGCAGGGATGATGTGATAAATACATGGTCTGTAAAAATAGTTTCAGGTTAGGAGCTTAGTGGTACCACTCTCGCTGCTGGGGGTACATGCAGCTGCTGTATTGTTGCTGCAGGACAGATGCTGAATGCTATGTTGCTTTGGACTTTTGTCAGAAAAGCAAGCATTCTCTTAAGATTTATTTCAATTAGTGAAAACTAACTGGTACTGATGTAGGTCTTTCATAAAAGCAAAGCAGAGAATGTAAACTTTCAAAAAGCACTTAATCCTGGAATTCCCAGCCTCAGAACTGTAAGAAGTATCTTATTTACAAACCACCTACTCTTTGGCATTCTGTTTACCAGCCCAAACACACTAAGGTACAAGTTTTGTGAAATCTAAACTAAATAATCTGGGGTTCCCCGTTTGAAAAAAAAAAATAGGAAACTATGAATACAAAATTAGTTACAAAAGTTAGGAGGATCTCATACAAATGAGAAGCCCTGAAACATTAGTTCACAGTAAATTCACCAGCAAGTGGCTACTGTTTTTATTAGAAGAGAACTATGTGGAATACATATGTCTCAGCAGATGACCCTCTTCCTCAGCAATATGATATTGGGGAGCAGAATTATGACCACAGAAGTAGAGTTTTCTCAGGAGTAGCTCACCAAGGAATATCAAAGACAACTTGCTGTCTCTTTTCCCCATACATTCCCATGTACTCTGTCCCCCAACAGACACACACACCATATTCCTCATTTGCTTCTGCTGACCTTTTAAGACTTATTAAACGTTTCTTCCATTCCATTGGCTCCCTGAATTCAACTGTTTCCTTACTTACGTACAAATAAATATTACAGCATGTCATAGTATGGAACTCACCCATCTAATATATGGAGATTTGTGTGGTTCTCTGTCATGAGTGTACACATGAGCTTTTAGTAAACTTTGCATGAATTGAGTTGAATTAAATAATTCAAACATTTAAATGATTGAGACATTCCTGAGAGGAATCAGCACCCTTTAAACCAGTCTTGGTGGGTGATTAAATAGTCTTGCTATTCAAAGTTCTAAAAATGAAATTACTAATTCAAAATGAAGTACTGTTTCCCAGTTTGAGTTCTATAGGCATTAATCCACATCGCCAAATGTATATGTTAACGTAATAAAATCAATTCCCCCTGCATCAAATCAAAAGATGATGCAGCTGAGTTAAAAAGCAACTAGGGGCCCTCCCTGGTGGCACAGCGGGTTAAAGCACTGCACTAAGAAGCTTAAGCCACCTCCGCATGAGTTCGATCCCTGTCTGCCCCGGAGGTGACCACATGGCGTGGTAGACCTCTCCTGACACGCCCGCTGCTCCTCTCAGCAGGGTACTTCGCTGATCTGCCTATTCTGCTCCAGCTCTGTCTCTGGTGAATCCTCTCACCCTCCGCATCTCTGGCCTGTACCCCAGTTCTGTATAAATAAATAAATAAATCTTTAAAAAAAAAAAGGCAACTAGGTATCAGGAAGCAAACCCATCTACAAATTGTTTTGAAATGACTTTCACCTAAATGATGTTAGCATGAAAGTCACAGACAGAGTGAGTTATTTCTACGTCTATTGTCCAATAAAAAGGACATTCAGGCCCTCCCTGGTGACGCAGCGGGTTGAAGCACAGTACTGAGAATCTAAAGCTGCTTCGCATGAGTTCGATTCCTGCCTGCCCCGGAGGTGACCACATGGTGCAGAAGACCTCTCCTGACTGGCCCGCTGCTCCCCTCAGCAGTGTACTTCATAGATCTGCCTGTTCTGCTCCCCACTCTGTCTCCAGTGAAGCCTCTCACCAGCCCTGAGCCTCTGGCCTGTACCCCAGTTCTGTATGCACAAATAAATAAATCTTAAAAAAAAAAAAAAAAGGACTCATTTTCTACAAAGTCTAGAGAATTCTGTCAAGACCAACTACAGGTCTCATCTCAGAAATCCCTTATTTGAACCTATTGGCTGATCCTTTCTTCACTTATTTTCTGCCAAAAGCCTTGATGTCCTTAGAAATTGCCCGGTAGACAGACTCAATTACACTTCTTTTGTTCACAGCACAAACATCTGGAGTCACACAGACAAGGCTGACTGGTGCGCCATCTAGAATATATGTACTCCATAAGTTTCCATGATTCCTTTTCTCCTCCATAAGCCCATCAGAGGGGATCTCTGTGATGCTGATTAGCTTTTTCAGTCAGAGACATGTAAAACTAGAGAAAGAGTTTAGGAGCAGAGCTGGAGAACATTAAGACATTTCTTCTTTACTTCCTCACAATTCCCAAATTGAACCACCACGTGGACTTTTAAGTAGGACTAAGGGCTCTTAGTTGGTTGAGATATGGAAAATCCAGTGAAGAGGTAGGAGGAGGTCACAATGACTCATCATCCCCATTTTTAAACATTATATAGTCATCAGAGATCAAAAGAATTCTCCTTAGGCTTTGCTTTCTTCTCTCCTTATCCATCCCACACACTTCCTACTCCCCTAATCTTTAAACATTCTTCCATTCCTGACTCATTTCTAAATTGCTTATCTCAGTAAAACCAGTTTGAGAAGCATTTTAAATCTGAACAAATGCAAAAGAAACCACAGCGCAAGACTTGCTTAGACTCCAAGATGAAGCAATAGAGGTAAATGTGGGACTGGCTTGTGAAAGAAGGGAGTCTGGAGTCTAATGGCAAAGTTAATGTAAGCACAAATTCAGCAGTCAGAGCAGTCAGAGTTTGAGGATCATTTGATCCTCAAACTCACCACTTATTAGCTGTGTATTGTTTTCATTTTTAAAATAAAGACAAAATTATACCTTCATAGATATATTGCAAACAATGAGAATGCATATAAATATATCAATATAGCAAGTTTTAGTTATTATTTTTTGTTATTGTGGCAGTTGTTACGTCAGAAAGCTTTCCCTTTTGACATTCATGTATTTAGAAGCAATGAGTTCATGCCATTCTCAAGAAGTCAGACTGGGAAAGAAGAAAATGTTGCAGGGAGATGTTCTTAGTTAAACTCACCTGTGATCATTTTCTGATTTTTTCGCCTTTTACTTCTTCATATGGTAATTTTTTCTTTGGTCAGATCATTCTTCTGTAGTCTTCATGTTGTGCAACAGCCAACTCCCATAAGCAGTTACAGCAGGGTCAGGGGAATCCTGTGTAGAGATGGAATAAACTAGAAACACACACACACACACTTTTATTTATTTATTTATTTATGACTCCTGTATATCTTGACTTTATGTAGTTTGGAAGAAAAGGGTAAATGTTCAGATATTTTGTGTGTCACTATTGATGCTAATTACACATATTACATATGAATGATGGTAGGTGGTAAAAGTGATTTAATTTTCTTAAATGATCAGTATCTGATAAGCAATTTCCTACATTCACGTTCAGCTCTAGAAATACATAGTAAAATTAAGTTTTTAAATGAGAAAAATCATAGCAGAGTACTATATACAAAAGTTAGTGGTCAGTTTAAACCTGAAATTCTTTCAGGCTCATGAAGACAAAGACAAGTGACTGGTTAAATTGTATTATTTAGTTTAGCGCTTTTCCTGTTCTCAGAAGTCTGTATCCGTTTGCAACCATTTACTAACACTGCCCAATTACCCACTATGTGTATTCCTTCTTCTGTCTACCATATCTCTGATACTGTGCTCTCAGTACTGAGCACTCTGGCTGACTTCTAACTGGTTTATAATAAATGTCTATTGAGTGAATAAAATGAATCCAGCAGTTTACCTTACGAATGGATGCATATGCTCTTTGTGATTTTCTATAGAAGTAAAACATACACTTTTCCCCACCTATGAGGGCAAGATAGATATGGTACAGCACGGTGACAATAAAAAGTTTATTAAACATGAGCCTTTCTCTATATGCCAACTTTTGTTCATTCGTAGAATGACAATGAGTATTACCCACAATGGAGAGGTGAGCATTTATAAATACATAGCTGATGATACAGTCTTTCCTTATCTTTTTTTCTTTTTTAAAATAATATATATTTTTTTTAACAAAATTTTGTGCCTTTTTCCATCTCAATTGTAATCCCCCACAGGTTTCCCATCACCAAGTCACCCGTGTGCCATCACCATAATCCCGTGCACTTCCCTCCCTCTCCCCCGATTTTGATCCCATTCCCCACTCCACCCTCACAAACTGTCTCTGGTATATAGCTGTTCATTATTATTTTCTTGCCTGGTCCATTATACTCCTGCTAGGAGGGAAACCATCCAGTATTTTTCCTTTTCTTTCTGGCTTATTTCACTAAGCATGATCTTTTCCAGCTCCATCCATGTTGCTGCAAAAGGCATGTGTTTATTTTCTTTCCTTACCTTTTAAGATTAGGCTTCTTCTAAAAATAATTTTGAGTGAACATGCTAGAACACTTGAATATCAATTCTAGCTTGGGCTTTTTTACACCTGGAATACAATGCTCTAAGTGCCTAGTGTTCCACAAATTATATTAAAATTCCAACTCCAAATAAAACACCAACTGTAAGATACAGAAATCCAATGTCTTCTTTTTATAGATGAAGAGAGTGAGAAAAAAATACTGAGTTGCTGGCTCCAGCTTGCACAATTAGGGACAGAGCTGGGCTTAATCTCCAGTGCTCTCCATTTGTGTCCTTTGCAATCACTCCTCTACTGAACAGCCCAAAACATCAGTACTCATCATTTGTACAGGGCAGAGGATAGAAGACAAAAGTTAAAAAAAAAAAATTATTAAAAATTTTCAAATGAAGTTAATTTTCTCGGTTAAATTAGAAAAAAAGAAGTATCACTTATGTTCACCCTCTCAACAAAGAAAGACAAAAAAATGAAAAAGACGCCACCACTATGTGCTGACACCAAGAATGTGGGGAAAGACTAACTCATCTATTTTTTAAACAAAGCTAACCTTACAGTTTCAACTTGACTTGTACTAGTTAGTTGGAGGCGGGGGGGGGGTGAAGTTAGTAAGAAAATATTTACTTGAATATTTTGTGATATGCTAGTTTGAAATAAAAAAAAAGTCAACTATGAGGAAGAAGATGGATTAACTTAGAATGAAAAATAAAAAAGGAATTCTCTTTTCATGTGTCTTAATGTACATGAAGTTTTGAAAAACCTATCAGCAAGCCAATCATCTGAATGGAGTCTTAGGGTCTCGTTTAATGCCATGATTTTACAAGAAAAAAAAAAGCACATATGAGTTTGGTGTCTGACTTTAGCTCAACATGGGGTGAGCAGAGAAGCCAGAACTCACATGGGCACATGTATTGGTAAACCGTGTGCTCCTGTCACTGGTAGATGTGACTTTTTGGCTCCTGAATGCACCTCCTAAGAAGCCAGAGTAGGTTAAAGTTTCTGGGAAGCCCTGTAGTTAATAATTCTGTGTAGTGTTGTTGTATCTATCGTCCCCAAATGTATTTGGTCATAGAACTCATTTGTCTTTTAGCAACAATAAATAGGCATTCATTCTCCAGAAACAAATTGGGAGGAATCCTGAGCCATCTGTGTGTGCTCACTATAGAGCCATGAAAACTGGATCTCACAGGCTCAGGTGGATAACAAGTCATAAATGCAATGGGTGAAGCCAGTTCTTCTACAAAATTTGTCATTTACACAGCTAAGTCTGCGATTGGTGGCAAATCTGCTGAATAAAATGCCTACAAATGCATGAGTTTGCTCTTGGTGAGTGCCTGTCACAGAAAGAGTAACCCCGCACAATGACAGAGTGCAGCTACCATTTCTGCCAATAGTCCTTCACACAGAGGGCTGGGACTTCTCCCAGGAAATGGTGTTTTGTTTGTTAGAGACTTTGTCTTGAAGGCAACAGACTGCACTTCAGAATTCTTTTATTCACTTCCTCCAGGCTCAGGAAGAGCAGAGGAACAGAAAAATACAATGGTAAGCAAGTATATTTTTCAAATATGCACTTGTATTATGATTTGCAATCATTTCATAGAAGTGGCAAGGATATGTATTCTTCAGATTCTTTTGCGTATCTGGCAGTTTATACAAGACCATACATGGTTGATAATAATCTCCTAAGCTTCAGGAGAAATGGAAAGAAAACCAAACAAAAGAACTCACTCAGGTCCCTGTTACATCTCTTTCTGCTTTACCACTTTGACTTTAAATATAACCATTAAAGTATTAGTGAGTGTTCTAATAATAGAAGTCTTAATAGACCTACTAAACAGTGAATGGGGATTTCTCCCTGGACTTAGCCAACTCCCTACATAGAAGCTAAATTAGGGAGTAGAGAGGATTCAAACAGAGTAACTGTTGGCCAAGCAAAATAGAATACAAATGCATAAGAATGCACACAGTAAGGAATGTCAACACAAGAAATGCCTCCTTGCACTTTGTAAAGCCTCTGTGGCATCCCTGAACAGGAAACACAAGGTATAGGTGTAGGTTTAGCTGAAACGATTATTTCTGAATAATACTATGTTCTTTTGTAAATACCATTTAAGTATTTAAAACTAACTCATTTTGAGAAGGGGAATAATATCAGATCATGTAAGAATTTTACTCTGCAAAAGAAATCGATTGTTAACTCTGTTTGAGTAGATCTTAGAAAAGTGTTGTCCTTCTGTGTTTTCCAAAGTAGCAGTATCATTAAGAAAATCAGTTGCCCCAACACCAAACCTGGATTTAAACTTGAGTTCTTTCTAAATACTAATAATAATTCTAAGTTGTCATTTATCTTGGTGATTTTATTTAAATTTGCAGACTTGAAGCCTTCATAACCTTGTTTCATCAGCATGCAAACCATAGATTCATTTCTCAGCCAGCCAGGGGGCCCAGAAGACTTCTCCTGGGCTGCTCCCTGCTCCCCTCAACAGTGTATTTCACTCAATACATCTGTCCTGGTGAATCCCCTTACCTCCCCCATACCCCTGGCCTGTACCCAATTCTTGTAAGCATAAATAAATAAATCTTTTTAAAATTCTGTTTCCCTATCTAAATCAAAAGCAGGAATTGCACATTTTAAAGACTGGTAAGGTATACATAATGTAAAGTGTGTAAAAAAACATTTTTAAGTGAACAGGTCCCTGACCTCACATCCTCACCCGTGCCTTAAGATTCAACTACAGGCACACACACAAATAGGTTAATAATGGGTTTATTGACAAGAGAAACAGGAAATTAATAATTCAGGGTAAGAGAAAGACAGATAAATTGATTAATGTGTCCAATCTGTCCTGCTGACCTGGAACCCCAATAGCACGCTGAAAGCTGGTGAAGAGCCAAGAGACAAGCTGCGAGCCACAAGGTGGAGAGACCCCAGACACCACATGTCCAGTTTTATATCCAAACCTGGCTACGTCCGTAACTCCACCATCAGTCCCAGCATGCTTCTCTTTGATGTTGATGGGATTTGTAGTTCCAGTATCTGGGGAGTGGGGAGTGTAGTGGGGTGTGAGGGGCGCGGCGGAGTCCATAAAACCTGTATCTGTAGAATTCATTCAGGACATCCTTTCCCCCTTACACCTCTGCCTAAGGTAAGAAATGGTAATCAGTATTTAAGTGGATTCCCTTTCTCATGCCCTTTGCTGCCATACACCTTGAAGCAGAGTTTAGCAAAGCAAATCTGGTTCCATAATGTGGTGCACCAAGAAATGGAGTGTTTTGAGTGTCCTGGGTGAGCTGGGGAGACTAGGTCAGCAGAGCTGCCAGCATTTCACTCAGAAAGCTCCCATTTAACCAATCTTCTATTTTTTCCACCACTTCAGGCAAATTTCCTCTATCCTATTTCTGGCCTCTCTCTTTGAGATACTGCAGTAGCAATGGCGAAACTCAACAAATATTTTGAAGTTGAAGGCAGCATCTTTCAGTGACTGATTATATCAGAGAGAAAGAAGTCAAGGATGTCTCAATTTCCCAAAGGTCACTGCCCTAGATCAGGATTTTACCATTTTAACTTTGGCTTAGATTTTTATCTCACTCAACTAACTTTTGTCTCCCTCCCCCTAGCTTCTTTATATAAACATAAAATGGGTTGGAGCAAATCTGGTGTCTCTCCAGGTTACGTTCATTCACTGAATGGATAAATAGAAGTGATGGAACCAAGACTCAAAGCTAAACCTTCCCACCATATAGATATTTTTCTCAATATGTCACAGACAACAAGAGTGACAAGTCATGGCAAATA